GAACAAATCCACCCATAGTCATCGCCTGCCATTGAAAAAAATTGACGGACTTAGGTCCTATTCTATACATATCCCAAAGGCTGATACGGAATGAGCAACTGCATGTGTGAAGAACCGGCTATGTACTGGCTTGAAAAAGGTGTGATTTGGCACGTCTGTCGATGTGAGAGACCGGGCAGAGGTCACGCCAAGGCGATAGACGTGACAATTCTACTTGACGAGGACTAGTCTGTGAGACAAACGATGAGCAATGTGCTAGCGTGTGAACTGTCGAAAGAACAGCAAACCGTGTGTATGAGCAATATCGCGCTTCTTGAGACTCAAGCTTACGAAATACAGCACTGTCTCTAATATCTACTAGTTGAGGGAATGGAAGGGAAAGTCTGAAGAAAAGATTGACTGTCATCACCAGGATACACGGCACACAACTGCTATTTTCCATCCTCCGGTGAGTGTGAGTGTGACATTATCAGCTAGACATTGAGTATCCTACCTTTGCAAGTACTCTCACAATCATCCTCTACTCCGCCAAACCGACACTTCAAAGGTGACGGATCAACACCCAGGCGCCTGCAAAAACAAGCAGCAAGCAAGCAACATCAGCCGTGGCAGCAGCAGCAGCAGACAAAGTAGAGCTATCATGTCATCAAAACCAGCCAGAGTTGCCAGAGCCGCCTCGGAACCACCACATGCATGCACATAGTCAATAGTATCACTGTATCATTCCAGAGTGGACCTCTTTCTCTCTCTGTGTGTGTGTGTGTGTGTGTGTGTGTGTGTGTGTGTGTGTGTGTGTGTGTGTGTGTGTGTGTGTGTGTGTGTGTGTGTGTGTGTGTGTGTGTGTGTGTCCCATATGGTGCAGTGGTATGTGCAGCGATTTCCAATCGAGAGGTTGCGGGTTCGATTCCCGACGATTATGGTCACGCACGTCTTTCTTCTCTTTCTCAGACTCCTCCTGACTTTTCTTTCATTCTCCTGAGTGGTTACCCAGCCAGTGCATGCCGGAGTATGTGGTGTGATGTGTGTGCGGGAAAAAATATTCGTGTGCCTAAGCAGCTGTTGTTTGGCTTCCTACCGTCGCCTCGGCCTGCGTGTGGTCCCCGTCGTCGCTGGAGGGATGTGATTTCGCCTGATCTTCGGCACATCGGCATTGAACATCTGGCTTGGTATGGGATTGCTCAGGATCGGTCTGCCTGGCGGGTGTCTGCCGTTGAGCCGAGCCTCGGCGGTCCTTCCCATGACCAATCTCAACGGGTGGACTGTCTTATCTGCCACCGTTCGTTTCGTCGGCCAGGTGACAGAGCAAGACACAAGTGAAGCGCAGAGCGAAGTCTCCCCATCCAGGATCAGCGTGGTGCTGTGCAGTGTGGTACATCGCTATTGTCCTCCCGGCTTCGGAAGCGGAGGCTTGAATGGCTTGGCCATGTGGCCCGCATGCCGGATGTTCGTGTGCCTAAGCAGCTGCTGTTTGGCTTCCTACCGTCGCCTCGGCCTGCGTGTGGTCCCCGTCGTCGCTGGAGGGATGTGATTTCGCCTGATCTTCGGCACATCGGCATTGAACATCTGGCTTGGTATGGGATTGCTCAGGATCGGTCTGCCTGGCGGGTGTCTGCCGTTGAGCCGAGCCTCGGCGGTCCTTCCCATGACCAATCTCAACGGGTGGACTGTCTTATCTGCCACCGTTCGTTTCGTCGGCCAGGTGACAGAGCAAGACACAAGTGTAGCGCAGAGCGAAGTCTCCCCATCCGGGATCAGCATGGTGCTGTGCAGTGTGGTACATGCAGGAGGTGGTTTCACTCTCGTGGTGGCTTGCGTGTACATCATTGTTTGCCCCTGGAACCATCGGAAGCGTCCGTGCCGGCATCACCTATTCCGCTCAACGTCCCGGCTTCTCTCTTGTGTGTGACATGCAATCGGCAAATCAAGTCAGTGCCTGGTTTCAGACGTCACAAGTGCGACCGTGGCCATCGAGCAACCGAGTCTGATAGAGCGTCATATGGTGTTCGCTGTTCTCGCTGCAACCGTCAGTTCCGTCAACAGTGACCTGAGTCGTCATCTCCGTTTCTGCTCCTGACAATGACTCTGGCTCCTTTCGGAGTGGTATGGCCCTTGTGTAAGTTGTGGCAACCAAGCTACAGTAGTAGTAGTAGTAGTAGTGACATTCTGCTTGATAAGCATCCCCAGCCTGCTGTACCTCCGGATGACGCTCTCTTGCAGGGACATGACGCGGCTACCCCTCAAGATCCGATCCTTTTTGCCAGGCTCACAGGAGCGCTGATCAAGCAGATAAGTCGTCAAATGTCCGGAGCGGCCGGTCCATCGGGCCTGGACTCTGATGCGTGGAAACGCATGTTGACCTGCTTCGCTGCAGCGTCTGACCAGCTCTGTGCGGCAATGGCAGAAGCAGGAAAACGCTTATGCACCCAGGAAGTCCCACCAGAAGAGCTAAGTTCGTTCACTGCGGCCCGCCTCATCCCACTGGACAAGCAACCGGGGGTGCGCCCTATCGCTGTTGGGGAGGTTTTCCGGAGACTAATAGGCAAAGCTGTGATGAAGATAATTCAGTATGACGCCATGCACGCCACAGCCCCTCGTCAACTCTGTGTTGGTGTTCCGTCTGGGTGTGAAGCTGCCGTGCATACGATGACCGACATGCTTGTCTCGCCGGAGGTGGAGGGTGTGCTCTTGGTCGATGCCACCAACGCTTTCAACGCTATGAACCGCACAGCAGCCCTACACAACGTGCCACTCGTCTGCCCTGCCCTGGGGCAGGTGTTCAAGAACACCTACAGCAGTCCATGCCGCCTGTTTGTGTCGGGTGGTGGAGAGATAAGGAGTCAGGAGGGTACCTGCCAAGGTGATCCTCTCGCCATGGCGATATACGCGGTCGCCATGATGCCATTGATAGACAAGCTGTCAGAGTGCTGCCCCGACGTGGTGCAGCTATGGTATGCTGATGACGATGCTGGTGGCGGACAGCTCCTCAATCTAAGGCAGTACTGGGATGGGATTCTGGAGCATGGCCCTGGGTATGGGTACTACCCTAACGCGAACAAGACAACACTAATTGTCAAGGAGCAGCATTCGGCCCTGGCACTCCAGCTTTTCAGGGACACGGGCATTCGTGTTGTGACCGAGGGTGCTCGTTATCTTGGCGGCGCACTCGGTACAACGGTCTTCTGTGAGGAGTATATCACAGATTTGATCGACAAGTGGACGCTGCAGGTTGATCGCCTGGCGGAGGTGGCCACCACTCAGCCACATGCTGCGTACGAGGTGTTTGTAAAGGGCCTCGTGTCCAAGTGGCGGTACCACTTGCGCGTCCTATCTTGCCCTGCGCATCTTCTGGCCCGTCTCGACGCCGCCATTACGGACAAGCTGCTGCCAGCGCTCAGCGGCCATTCGTGTTCGGACGAGTCGGCACTGAGAAAGTTGCTATCGCTACCAGCGCGGTTTGGTGGCATGGCAATCCCTGTGCCCTCGGTGGAGGCCGAGAAAGAGTTTTCTGCATCCAGACAGATTGTGGCTCCTGTGGCGGCCTGCATAAGACCACCAGAACATCCAACCAGCACCAACGAAACTACTCAAACAGACCAGCTGAACGAGGCAATAGCCCTCAGCCGGCAGGAGGCCGGGCGTATTCGCAGAGAGAAAGCTGCCCAAGCCACGGGTCTCGTTAGCGAATTGCGCCCGGACTTGACAGCAACACAGGCGCTGTTGGTGGAGAATGCCGCGGAAAAGGGCGTATCATCTTGGGTAACGGCGGAACCATCGTCCCAAATGCAGATGGTGCTGAACAAATCGGATTTCCGAGATGCGTTCTGCATCCGCTACGGCCTGCAGCCTGACGGACTCCCCCTGACTTGTGTATGTGGTGCTGCAAACACAATAGACCATGCGATGATGTGTCCGGCAGGGGGCTACCCCATGGCACGCCACAATGAGATCCGGGACTTGTTGGCTGACGTGATGCGTGAGGCCGTCCGGGATGTGGAGGTAGAACCGCCTCTACTACCATATGATGGTGAGCGGCTCCAAGGGAGGACAGCCAACCGCTCGGCAGGTGCCCGCCTGGACATCCGGGCTTGTGGCTTCTGGACGAGACAGCAAGATGCCTTTTTCGACATCCGGGTTACACACCCAAAGGCAAGCTTGCTGTCGCGTCAGGAAGTCATCAGCCAGCTCCGAACGCATGAACGGATGAAGAAGCGCCAGTACGGAGAGCGGGTGACAGCAGTTGACAGAGGTACGTTTACACCGCTAGTTTTTTCTACCTCGGGCATGATTGGCAGAGAATGTTCAATGGCACTGAAGACACTGGCATGCCTGATTGCTGAGAAGAACGTCGACCTACACGTATCGGTTATCATGGGTCAGCTCCGTTGTAAGCTGTCAGTCTGCCTTATGCGATGGGCAGTCACCTGTTTGCGTGGTTCAAGATCGTCATACCGCCGCAACAGGATGAATTTCACGACGATGTGCAGGTTGCGGGCAGCCTGAGCGTGATAGTACCTGACAGACATTTGCCCAACATTGCCCCATGATAATGAATTCTTGAGTTTTTGGACATTGTATTGCATTGCTGCTCCATCTACATGGCTGTATTTGTGTTTCACATCTCCATTTCAAGTTTCCTAATAAAGATTGTGTCAAGTAGTAGTAGTAGTAGTAGTAGTAGTAGCAGCAGCAGCAGCAGCAGCAGCAGCAGCAGCAGCAGCAGCAGCAGCAGCAGCAGCAGTGTGTGTGTGTGTGTGTGTGTGTGTGTGTGTGTGTGTGTGTGTGTGTGTGTGTGTGTGTGTGTGTGTGTGTGTGTGTCTCTCTCTCTCTCTCTCTCTCTCTCTGTGTGTCTCTCTCTCTCAGACAGCGAAAATTCACATCCGTGCTGAGTACACGTCATACTATGTAAGAGTGCCAGCGTGCACTCAGTCCGGGTATCTGCCATGACAGGACCGCTGGAGGCAGTTTGTGATTGGTCTGGTAGTATTGTGGCCTTTCATAGTTTGTGTATGCTATGCTTTCTCAGTCATTTTACTTCAAAGAGGGTACGTTTCCTGAGTTTCAGAGTACACAAGTGTACTGTATAATATAGCCACGTACATGATTGTACTACTGTAGTACTTCCATACCATGCACCGGTACGCGGTGTAAGTCAGTACACACACTGTACAATCGTGTATCATTGTACGGCGTACGAACAATAATTTTGTAAATAGAGGACATTCATATGCGCACAACTGCTTCATGGAAGCTGCTGTGAAGTGGTTGAAGTGAGCGAGCCTGCATCCTGCACTTCTGCAGCACGACAATGCGCCAGCTTGGAACGCTGTCCAATCATGGTGCCGTGGTCATGGTGGTGCTGTGCTACGTTGCTTCACTAACTTCACACTTCACAGCCTCACCTTATCGTCGTACAACCCACAACTCAACAACTACCTCACCACTTTGATTTTGAACCAGGGATTTCGCCAAGCTGCGGGCAGATACGAGAACCAGATTCCTACAAGCATTACGCTTGTAAACAAAGTTACCTTTGCTTTTTCAGAAAATTGGCAATTTAGGACACGTCAGAGAATTTGAAACTAACTTCATCAATAATCGCACTAATCAAACGAAATTGTACTCGAAAAAGCACCTCAACAAAGCATTGTCTGCAATCAAACATTTTACCTGCATATCTCCTTGCCGAGCTCCGAATGCGACGTTCCACAGAAGAACTCCATCCCTATCCTGCTTGTCCTACGGTCGGCAGCACCACCGCTCAAACTGTGTCCTCCGGATGCCAGATTGTTAGTGGTGTTGTGAAGACTGCACAGAGCAGTCCTCGCTTCAAAATATAGAACACAAGTGCAACGAGTGTTGCTTCACCACTGCACAGCCCAGCCGAGCTCGAGCCGGGGGAGCAGAGGTCAGTCACGCTTGGTGCAACGACGTTACGTTACGTGCAGCAGTCACTGCATGCAGCTACCGAGCATAGCACGTCAACACCGTGGCACTAGCTGCTGATCGTAAGAATAACACGCGTAGATCTACACGCCACCCACGCTGACTGTTCTCCGTTGTCCCTGTTTTATTTGTCAGGGCGCTGTGACACTTGGCTTGCAAGATCCTGTTCGACGCTTTCACCACTCGCCAGTGATAAAATGTGGAGCTAGCTGAACACCTAGCACGAGCACAGAATGAACACGTTTCGTGTACGTGCAGTGCCGCAAAGGACAAAGCAGAATGATGTGGTCTGTAATAAGAATTGCTCTTTAGCGTTTCCTACACAAAAACTATCACCCTTGATGGTGACGCTCCCAATTCCCACAGAGAGAAGCCATGCACTCGACTCTAGAGTCTAGAATCGCTGCTTGCGCCGCGTAGTCGGCGGAGATCCACGACCAGCCCAGAAAGCAGATCGGCCCAATAATAAAAGTGAAATACTGGTGCCGCAATAAACCACAGTAATGATCGTTCGCTGTTGCATTTTTTGCTAGCAAGTAATCATGGTAATAGTTAGTACTAATAGTAGCAGAGAGTTGTAGTCCTAGCTCCGGAGGCGTGTACCATGGTGTACGGACGGTGTAGGTCTACCGTGGTTGCACTTGTACTGTAAGTTGTAGTAGTACAGGTCAGTACTGACAGTCTGTAGTATAGTGGTAGACCTACTCCCGGAATCCCGCACTACAAAGTACATGAAGTACACAGGACTAGATACCATGGATACACTACCATCAACTAACTTGATCAAGAGACTGAACATAACCATGATAACCCCAACTATCTACTCAAGAACGCCGTGTCAGTTATGTACTCTTGCTACCATGATGTAGTACTACTACGACTACACTCGTACTACAATAGGGCTTGAAAGTGCTACGTCACTCCATAGCAATGGCATAGCAACAATTTGAAAAATTCGAAAACTGGATCCACCTGGATCCAGTTTTTGTATGGATCCAAGCACATTTCAAGCGGTCTCACTCACAGCAAGGTGATGTTGCCAGTGAAACTGACTGATTTGGCTAGTGGGGGCGGGGTGACAACTGGTGGCGAAGTAAAAGTTGCACCTGCATACGACATGAGTGGGTTGCTATGCACCCACATACTGAGGCAATAGCAAAGTCACACCTTAGTGGATCCAAAATAGAAATCTGATGTCAATTTACTACTCCCAGGCCGTTTTTGACGTCATCACTTTCAAGCCCTATTTTGTAGTAGAGGCCAAGTAAAAAAAAAAGCTAGATGATCGTCCCCGTCCGCCCCAGTTTTTGTCAGCGCCCCAAGAAATATTTTATTTTTTAAATCGTGAGTTTTTGCCGAAATCGTTGGTTTTTTACCGATCGCGGATGCAGGAAACATGTGCACGCTTTGTTTAATACTTTCTTTACTATATGGACCACATTTAGAAAAGCGATCCTGTCAGCTTTTCTATTATTGGAAAGGCTTTCTGTCTAAAGCCTTTCCATACTGGTGCTCGATGTTTTCAGTTTGGGGACACCAAAATTAGTGTACCGCTAAAGACACGTGGTCGACACGTTGTTGACACGTTGTTGACACTTTGTTGACACGTGACCCAATAACCGGCCTACCAAGGGCCTTTGGGGACCGCTAACAGCAACTGTGGAACAGTGCAGTGCCCTTTTTTGGAGCAACGTACGAGTAGTGCCCGTGGATTATGACCCCGCGACCCCAATCTACGTGGCGATCCGCAATTCGCTACTTCATACTGACTGGCGTCCGGCATCGTCCCGAATTTGGCCGCAATCTGCTCTCGGGACCCTGTAGGGCTCCCTGACCTGCTCCATCTCCGCCATCGTCAATGTACTGCGCATCCACCCAGGCCAGGACTGCACTTACTTATGGGAAGGAGTATTTGCTAGATGGAACCTGGGAACTGGAAGACGACGAAGAAGAAGCGTGGGAATCTGGCAGCAATGGCTGGGATGTAAGTCCAACATTGCTGGTGCTAGAGTTGCCACTGCTTGCTTATAAGGGAATCATGTGTGTTGCCCTTTTTTGCCTTTTCCGACGTCCTCCTCCGACTGTACTCCCAGGACTGAACTTACGGGAAGGAGTGCTTCCAAGATGGGAGACGAAGAAGAAGAAGCCGCTGATGGCAATGGCTGGGATGTAAGTCCAACAATAAACATTGCTGGTGCTAGAATTGCCACTGCTTGTTTATAAGGGATTCATGTGTGTTGCCCTTTTTTGCCTTCTCCCATGTTCTCTTCCGACTGTACTGGTGAACGCTGTCACATATGTTGCCCTTTCCAGGCAGTAGAAGGGAGGGGCGGAGGGCAGCACATCTATCCTGGCATCCAGGAATGCTGGGTGGAACTGGGCAATCTGACCTTTCCTCTTACAAGTACTCCAATGATGGTATGGATGGGGAGTTCTTGAACGTCCTCAGTCTTGTTAGAGTGAACTGTGCAAATCGGTAATCGATGATAGCAAAGGACCAATGCCGATGGCGATGCTCCTTCCTTTTTCTCTGTCACAGGCTGCGTTCTCGAGAAGAAGCGTTATTTCTGCATTCCAAGAAGGACGGCACAATGGTGAGTGGAACTTCGTGGGTGTGCAGCCTTGCTAGTTGATTTGTAAATCAACCATTCTTCCTGTCTCTGACTTCTTCAATGTCCTCCTCAGTGTCGGACTGTCCGCGTCGCATTGAACTGGTCCGATGAGGCTGCTATTGCACACACAGTGAGGGAACTCTCATACGGGAACTCGGAAGTACTGCTACAGTACAGGTAAGGTGGCCGTTGCTTATGTGCGTGCGCCGTTGTTGTCAACTTTTAAGCCAGATGTTTCACAATGCATTGCACCAAGAGTACATAACCCCGGGGGTCATGTACTCTTGATTGCACTCAGCACCGCTTCTCGGAATATCTTGTCAGGATAGCTGTGGAACGCATCCTCCCCAGTGGAGGAACGGCAAATGTGCTGTTCATTTTAGGCTTGCTTTTATGGTACGTACAAATCCCCATTGAAAAGACATAGTGGAGACGAGAAATTGCAAATAGATGTTGGGAACCGGGAAGACCACCCTTCCTTGCCAAGTTCCCTGAGGGTGTGGAGGGGGGGGGGGGGGAGAGTGGAGGAGGGACATTTAAAGCCGGATACACAGGAGCATTTTCAGAAATTGCTTGTACATTTGTACCAGTTGTAGCCAACAAACGCATTCTCATTGAGCTTTGACTTGAGGCACGTCAGCAAGGCGCTGTTGCATCGCTTACGTCTTGTCGTGATTCTGTGAATGGTATTTTGTGCGAGTTTGCATCGCACGCAGAATCGCAGGTCATGCCGCATTGCGCAGCACACTGCCAAATTGCTTCTGTGACTCCCACGTGAATGGGAATTCCAATGGGAATGTAATCCATTGCCAACAGGTGTATTCCCGAGCTGCGCATCATACTGCAAAATTGCTCCTGTGCATGCAAGTGGATTTCATTGCTCTTTTCAGTTTAGGAAATTCTCGATTATGATAATTCTGTGTGTGTGTGTGTGTGTACACCAGCCCTGAACATACATGTAGGTGACCCATTTGTGGTGTCTCATAGCCTACCTCACGACCTCATGCTTTCTTTCTGCATCACTTGTATCTTGCAGGTATATCATCCCGTGACGACCACATTGAAGTCTGAATTTGAAGTGTGAAGATGCTTCAGCAACCCCTTCATTTTTTCCATTGCTTTTATTGTGCTGCTACTGTGCATGTGATGACAACGTATACCGGTGACACGGTCAGATTTTGTCCATGCGTGTAACGTACACCTGCATGCTATCGTTGAAAAGGATCTGCCACTTACGATCTTCGGACGAGTATCAGGTCAGCTTGGTTTGTGTGGGCTGTACCAGATGCTGTTCACTTCTCTATCTGTTGGATATGTGACTTTCTGCAAGTTTCTGGTGTATGGTGGCCACTTCTTTGCTTGTCTTTGTATGACATTACAATCATTCTGCACTCACTGCTTCCATGGTGTGGTCTGCAAACTGCAATCCTTACGCAAATATCATCACGGTTTGCAATGTTGTGCTTTGGCTGCCAGCTTACCTTTATTTTGTTTCACAACTGACTTCCTGAAGTATGGTGGCCACTGCTTTGCATGGCATTATACAATGTTCATCAAGAATTTTCCTGTTTGGGCCGTGTGTGTGTGTGTCACTGTGTGTGTATGTGTCACTGTGTGTGTATGTGTGTGCGTGCCCATGTGTGTGTGCCATGTGCATGTGCTTGTTTGTCACAATGTGTCTGTGTGCGGGGTAGCGAGGTGGGAAGGGCTGGAATGTATCCGTGTGCTACTGCAATCGCATGGCTACATACAGTGCATCGCGCGCATGCTCACCATGTTTATCTTTGGAGCTGGGCCGGGGTGGGGGAGGGAACAGAAAAAGAACTGAAATTACCCATATAAAAACCGCTCTGTGAGCGGTTCTGAAAAACCTCTACTGGTGCAGCCCCGTCGTAAAAGTAAGAAATTAGGACTGGTGCATTGTCCTCCCAAATGTGAACTGATCCACCTAAATCGCGATTGACGGGACCCGAACGCACCAGTAGCACGAGGTCGGGAGGGCACAGGATTACAGCAATGGACCGGCGCGCGCGCCGATCAAGTAATTAGTTACCATACAACACTTACAGTACCCCGAAGCCCACCTTTGGCTTTGGCTATGGACCAGCGTCCCCAGCTGCATCCACAGGTAGGAACCTCGTGCTACTGGTGCGTTCGGGTCCCGTCAATCGCGATTTAGGTGGATCAGTTCACATTTGGGAGGACAATGCACCAGTCCTAATTTCTTACTTTTACGACGGGGCTGCACCAGTAGAGGTTTTTCAGAACCGCTCACAGAGCGGTTTTTATATGGGTAATTGTGTTCACATGGCAAGAAAAACGACACCGCTATGCTACGTAAGTTTCTACGTAAGGTGCTCGGTATTTCACTTAGGCTACGTAAGTCTCTACGTAAGGTGCTCGGTATTAGATCTACCAACGGGTGGTAGCCGCGTGCTCTGCACGTGCACGGCAGACATTGTGTTGCAGTGCAGTCCGTGTTTGGATGTGCATGCGCGAGGAACTTTCTCCTTTGGAACTGCTTCTTGTATGAGCTGTTTCGGATATTTCGTCTCCTGGCATGGCTTATTTCGTTTCGGCGCTGCTGAGACCTCCTTTCGCGGAATATTACTCAATGACAGGTGAGTTGACCAGTTCCCTTTGATTCATTTGCTTGTGTTGACTCTTTCATTTACGAAAAGTGTGCTGATTTTGGGCGGAATGCAATAAATAATGGAAAAGCTGACAGGATCTCTTTTCTAAATTTAGCTTTTCCGCTGCCGAGGCCTCCTTTTACGGAATACTCAATGACAGGTGATCTCTGAGTTGACCGGTTTCCTTCGATTCATTTGCTTATGCTCACCCTTTCATTTACGGAAACGTGTGCTAATTTTATTCGGATTTAGATCCATTTTTATCTCTTTGCCCTTGTCTACAGTGTGCGAAGAACGCGAGTTCACCTTCTTGACGGTAAGGCTTATGTTACATGCGTTGTCGAAATACTCATAATTATTCATTGTAAATTGGTACATTACAAGTAAGGCACTGGTCCGTGGCATACTATCGTTGGCAGTTCCCAATCTGGAGGGAAAGGTTCAAGGATCCATTGACCGAGTTTGCAAAATAAATTCCGCATATCAGGAAAATCTCCATTGTGGAGAGGTTCAGTAAACTTGTTTGCTTCATACGAAACAAGCCAATGGGTGCAGTCTCGTCTCGTGAAGATCTCGTACTTGTATGATTGGATTTGTTTACTCGAGTCTGGGCTGTTTGATTTATTATTTGTGAGTACATGTACCACCGAGATTGCACTGCCCCAAATAAAGTTTCGTGCCGCCAAAGCAAGAATTACGATCTGCAATCTGTTTGTAGTACCTGCAAGAATGTGCTGTACATGGATGGTACTTTCTCTGTTGCTGTTTCAGTTGCCGTCATGTTGCTAAAGAAACGTTCAGTAGAGAGGTTTTGCAAAACGAAAATTCGAACGAAGTTTCGCGACAGTCCTTGCGAAAGTGTGTACGAATTTTTGCACGAACTTTGCGTTCTGCACATTTTCGTAGTTTGCGCGGGCCAAGCGCACGTACGCCATGACCCTATCTCACGAAAGTGTGTACGACAGTAGCCAGTGCAGGCTAAATTTTATTTTTCAAGGAAACCCTTCGAAAATGGTACCAATCGATTCAGCATGGCATTTTCATTCCTCCTGCAAGGTTTTAGCTGATTTGGAGTCATGGCAAGGACGCTATGGCGATTTGAAGATCGAAAAACTTCACTTTTGTTTGTCAAGAAGAAAGACCATGATCGCACACAAATCATACAACCCGTGTGGCACAATGATTTTTGAACGAAGTTGATCCGCGGACCCCGTGCTTCGCGCATGCATGCATACTGCATGCACACACACAGTACAGAGGCTTTTTTGAGCGCAGATATGTAGTTCTTCGTCTTCTTCGAAATGTCTTCCAAATGCGTGGTGCTGGTGTTGTTCTCAGCTTCGTCAAGGTAGAATGCAGCTGCATGTGATTCTCCTGTGTGTTCATGCATGTTCTCTTTTCGCGTCTCGACATTGTAGCGTCCAGACTCAGCTCGACTGGAGAAGATTGAGGAGACTATGCTTTGATCCACATGGAAAATCGATGAAATTTGGTAATTATCGTCGGGCGCTAAAAAGCGCTGGGGAGCATGGGGCTAAAACTTCGTAGCAGTCATCCCTACCATGACAGGCATCGACTGGTATATGTTCCATTCTGTTCCCAACCACTACGGGTAGTCCGCGAAGCTTTCTTCTTCGCCGATTCTCGGACAGATCGTACGTCTTCGCACTGTATCTCTCGTCTCCCTCAACGGATCAAAACACGGTTTTCGCCAGGACGAACACAAACCCCCAGATTTCGCGGCGGCAACATCTTCGAGTAGGGAAAAGCTAGCAGCTAACCAGGAATCACCAAAAAACACGTGTAATACTCAGTGTGATTTGCGACAGCTGTCATTGTGCCGTCGCACCATGCATGTACCATGCACGGGAATGGAACACGGATGAGTCGTTTTATTACGACAGCATGCACTGGCTAACGACAGTTCATTTCGCGTTCCCTGCAAGTTTCGCGTCCAAAGTTGCGAAAGTTCGTGCGAAATTTCGCACTTCATGACGTAGAACGAAAGTTTGTACGCATTTTCGTTTCGCAGAACCTCTCTAGTGACTCATTTCTTTCATAAGAGACGAGTCAATGAGTTGGTGTGGCTTAGAATCTTTCGCTGTAGAAGAAATCTATTTGTATGTCTATTGGACAAATAATTGTATTCACTGGTTATAAAATAGGTTAAGACAATCTCACAGAATAAATACCATCGGTCCCTTGGTGTTCGTCCTAAAGAGGTTAGACTGGATATCATTCATACTCACCAAAAGATGTGTAATATTTTATTATTATGGAGTGCCTTGTTTATCTCTCAGTACCTCCAACCATAGCCTTGCCCCTTTTATCCTCAGGATCAGTGTAGTTGTTGGAACGAGGTGTCGGACTCAGCAATGTATTTGTTTACATTTTAATACATGTTTATTGTTCCTCCTTTGCTGTGTTGTTTTAGAAAATCGTGGACTAACAGTTTGAAGTCATTGAACTACTTCCAAAAGTTGTATCGACATCAACAGGATTACGATTTCAGTGCAATATGATGCAGGATGACCTTATCACGATAACCCATGATTATAAACCATTATAAACACAGAATCAACAAAAACATCTGTGACACGCACCTGGTTACATTTCTCAAATAAATCTGATAGAGGGTGGGGAAATCTGAAATATCTGAAAGGCAAGACAATTTTATGACAGAGTCATGAAATTCTGCAACAGCAACATGCACAGAAAGACCTCCGTATAAAAAAAAGTATCACCACGGTCCACCACTACTCACATGTTTCCCCGCAGAAGAACATGCTAGTGCCATTTTCTGCAAGAAAAGGCTTGCACATCAATGCGTACATGTATAATACGGTATTGATATGATGTGAAGCCCATCATTTACATATTGATATAGGACATTCCATTGATTGGTGACAGAAAAAACAAAAGAAATTATAGCAATAAAAACTGCTTTATGGCAGTTTTCAAAAAAAGTTATTGTGTTCTAGTCCATGGACCCCGTCTAAAAAGTAAGAAATTAACGAAATGTGATAGCCGAAAATTAAAATTTCACACAAAACCTCACAATAATCACACACAGTCACAGAATGAAAAGCTACATGTAGAAGACCTTTTCCCCTCGTGATCCTCTTTCCTATGCATGCATGACATGCATGTTGCCCATTGTTGGTGCAGTACAGGTTTAGTGCTGAAAACAGCATTTCAAGTGTTGTGATTATTGTGAGGTTTTGTGTGAAATTTTAATTTTCGGCTATCACATTTCGTTAATTTCTTACTTTTTAGACGGGGTCCATGGACTAGAACACAATAACTTTTTTTGAAAACTGCCATAAAGCAGTTTTTATTGCTATAATACTACTAGTATATCACAACGTCAGTATCGATCTGCTGAAGAAAGAAAAAGAAAAAAAGAAAAAAAAAGAAAAAAAGAGAAAAAAAACCTTGATGTTGTTGTGTACACTGTGTGCATGAGAGGGTAAAAAGTAAAAAAATAAAAATAAAATCCTCCCGCCCTCCCCGATTTTTCCAAAAAAAAGGACGATCATCTAGTAATTTTTTTTACTCGGCCAGATCTCGCACCAAGAAGTCCATGACTGTCTGACATGCAGTGCACTAGTGAGTCCACACGTATAGTAGCGAATGGTAAGCGCAAGCACTCATGCTCAGCCAGCACTAGCAGTAGCAGGGTACTCTACTAGTACTACCAAGAGTATGTTGTACTCTTGGCACTCTTGCTACTAGTACTACTGTATATACAGAAGCCTTGCTTGGTAGTTAACATGTTTTTCGATTTTGACAGCATGTTACCAGTCGGGGAGATGTCCTATCTAGGACATCGCACTCTGAATGATCCTGATTGGTTACCTGTCCCAGAGTTGTCATGGAAGCGTCGGTCGCGCACACGCGATGAAAAGAAGTGCTGCGTGAGCATTTCTGAATGTATGTGGAGGATGCACGATCGTAATGGCGATGGATTTCTTTCCGAGTTGGTCAAGTTTGAAGGAATAGGCGGAGAATATCAGACATCGGCGGGGATTGAGGTAGTGTATATTCGATTCGTCATCGAATACCCGACCGAATGGCCGTTTTCGTTTGGGGATTTCATGTGGGGTTTCTCGTAGCCACGCGGCGCTTCTTCGGAAACGATTGGTTCTAATTTGAATGTTTTGCCTTTGGTCCTTTTGGAATGTTTCTTCACGCCCCGTGCGTTCATTTCGCCCCAAACCTGGCCATGCAGAGGATCTAGGAGGAAGACGAGGCAGCAGGCGCTAGGCCCGTAAATCACTACCCGGAAGATATTATTTGGCCAAAGCTTGCTGTTGGCGTTTTTGATTTCTTGGACACGACAGCTCTTGGCTAAAACTGGACCTTGGACGGTCTTTCTTGGATATCAACCCAGGACGTGGTGGTCATGGACGTATCGCCATCGCTTTCAGCCAGATCCTTCTGCTGCCTGAAACCAATGGCGAAAGTAAAAACTTTATCGCAGCAGCAGCTACTGCTCTGCTGAAAGTGCGAACACAAATTGCTTCGCCAATCCTCTTGTGCACTTGCAATTTTCAATGCGACCAAAACGATTCGCTTGCCAGTTCCTTTGTCCAGGCGTACTCCACAACGAGGAAAATAAAATTCGTGAAGGCAAGAGGCAAGATACGAATCTCGACTCGCTTGAGGCAAGCCGCCAGGAGAACGACAACTAATTGCTTTTGAGACGAAAGGCCTTCGTTGCGTTTGTTTTGACTTGAGTGTAACATGTTCATCTTCCTCGGCCGCGACACAAAGTTTTGAGTCACGTGTCACGATTACTATGGGAACAGCATAGTATGTATGCTGGGGCATGCTGGGTTCCGTGATGTCCTATCTAGGACATCTCCAGGACTGGTTACAAGGCGAGGACGCGTAGTGAACCGGTTTATGGTTGTAGTCAGGAGCACTACGCGTCCTCGCCTTGTAACATGCTGTCAAAATCGGAAAACATAGTACTACTGTACTACACTGTAGGTCTAGGGTAGGCTTTTCCGGATTATGCGTTTTTTCTTGGTCTAAAATGGAAATGGAAAGTGTTTTGAAAAACCCCTATAAATCAATTTTTTTCTAAAGAAAATGCAAAAATTTACCCAAAAAGCACAAAAAATGCCACCGTTGCCATGGTAACAAAATGGCGACAGCTAGTCGCTTGACATTTGGCACCATGGTGATCATTCATGGTGATCGTGAAGCAGGGAGTAGTACAATAGGGCTTGAAAGTGCTACGTCACAGCATAGCAACAATTTCAAAAATTCAAAAATTGGATCCACTTGGATCCAGTTTTTGTATGGATCCAAGCACATTTCAAGCGGTCTTACCAAGAGTACATAACCCCCCAGATAGTCCATCAGCCAGTGGTGCCAAAGTGAGTCCCCTGTTGCACTTACAAATCGAACACCTGGAACTGACATCAATCGACAGCAAAAGCATCACTGAATCCAACCTGCCTACTTTCCCTGGCGAAACTCTTGCACTCCTTTTACAGTGCGCCTTGGAAGTTCGACAAATTTCTTCTTCTTCATCAGCCATTACGAGGTTTTCCATCCGTTTTATCAGGACATCCAATGCGTCTTCAGTGAAAACGTGGAGTTTTGTCAACGTTTGGTGTGGTTTTCCGTGGCGATCGACCTAAAATCGCGAAATAAATCGCCGTCGATTTGAGCAGAGGTGAGTTGGCTTGGAGCACGTACAGATTCAAAAAATATGTGTACATGCGCACCGGGAAGAAGATGAAGATGCTCACCATTTTCAAATAACTAATTCAAAAACTACATGACTATTGTCAAGGGTGGACTCTTGCTATTGTACTGCAATTGTTGTAGTTACTTGTTTGCAACTACAATGGTGTCAAGTAGATAATCAAGCGAGGTACACAGGGATTGATGGCTGATCAAAGCCCAAGGGACCAGCCCGAGGGCTTTGATCAGTCATCAAGCCCGACTGTACCTCGCTTGAATATGCTTCAGACGATCCCCAACAATTTTTTTGATTTAGAATTCAATCGCTTTATTCTTTGGGTGATCTCGAGTGTGGTAGATAGTACTTCGAAGTAGTACAACTGTAACTGTACTACTACCTGGTTGCAACATGTTCAAAGCAGCCTTGCCTTTATTTCAACTGTTTGCTGTCAGCATCCAGAGCCATGGCGTTTGCTAGTTGGTCGTAATGGAGAAGAGAACTGCAGGGCATTCACTCGATGTACAACATCCATCGCCGCAGATTCCTTACTTTTAGCTCTCCACGTTCCTTATTTTTCCAGGGATCAGGACCTTCCCGGGGTGATTCCATTCAGGGTGGAAGCGTAGATCACACTTTTGCCAAACAGTAAAAACTACGCTTCAAACCTGCTTGACATAACTCGGGGTGCACACTTCGGAAACCCGAAGGTGGATGATGTTCAATACTAGCTCATTGTAATCTTCCTGAAGGTATGTATTCGGATGCTCAATTAAATAGAACAGTGAAAGAGATGTGTAATGGAACAACACTCTACAACTTTAGGCGAACAACAATTTTATTGTAATTTGAATCCAGGCACACGTGTAATACGGAAACTGCAATGGTTTACACTGCAAATCTTCTCGATTTGCAAGATTTTTCCCGTAATTCACAAAAATCTGAAAGTTCATTCCTGAAACGCGCATGGCACTGATTGGAGATTGGGTTTAGGTCACAACAATGGCTGTCGATGAAATGCCAAAAATGGTCACTTTGTCGGCTTCCCCCTGCAGAGCGTGCAAGTCGTTTACTCTTTTTATTTGCGGATTCGGTGTACAGGGTACCTAACCTCCCCATTGAGGCCAAAATCAAGTATTCGATTTCTAAGTGCAACAGGGTTCTTGAATTTGACGACTTCTGAGTTCTTGGCTGATGGACTAAGAGTGTGCAACTCCACTATGGGTGCTGTCCCGACAGAATTTCAAGTTGACGTCATTTTGATGATGCAATGCGCACTGTACACGGATTATCAGACGAATCCGGAACCTGTGGTTGAACGAAGCCGATCGATCCTGTACAAATTATTGCAAAGAAAAACGTGTGTTGCGTTGACACCCGTACACATGTTGTAAATCACTGCTGCAAGGAGCATTGCGTCATAAATAATGACGTCAACTTGAAATTCTGTCGGGACAACAGGGTATGTGGGAGTTGCACACTCTGGGGGGTTATTTAGAAAAGCGATCCTGTCAGCTTTTCTATTATTGGAAAGGCTTTCTGTCTAAAGCCTTTCCATACTGGTGCTCGATGTTTTCAGTTTGGGGACACCAAAATTAGTGTACCGCTAAAGACACGTGGTCGACACGTTGTTGACACGTTGTTGACACTTTGTTGACACGTGACCCAATTACCGGCCTACCAAGTGCCTTTGGCGACCGCTAACAGCAACTGTGGAACAGTGAAGTGCCCTTTTTTGGAGCAACGTACGAGTAGTGCCCATGGATTATGACCCCGCGACCCCAATCTACGTGGCGGTCCGCAAT